CAGGTAGGTTCAGAGAGAACGAGCTGGTCCCAGACAGAATATATTTGAGAGAAGAAATCATTAATAGACTGACCAGGCTCTTAACGCAGGCAATGAAGTTGACTTTAAAGCTGATACTGATGAGCAAGACTAGTAGTCTGATAACGTTTTGTCAAAAAAACGCAAATGTCTTTGGTAGGAGTCGTCACAGAGTCAAGTTAAAAACGACCAAATTGTAAACTAATAGAGGTAACAGAAGTATTCCGAAGCCAAGTGATAATCTGGTAGTTCTTACTGTTATAATCCTTTAAACGGTTTGTATATGTGGCAGCTGTTTCATGAACGTCTTTCATTGGTTAAACTACATCCCCAGTGATAATGCGCTAAAGTTTCTTCTCTTTCAGAAAACTAGACATGGCATGGGCCCATAACACATATTGGAGCCATCAAGAATAACAGAGATTGGATGAGAAGCATCATGACGATCCATAACAGTGGTTTTGGTGAAGTAAAATAGAGTAAAATAGTGCTATAAGAGCAAAAACCAGCAAAACAGAGCGCACCAGTGAGTTCGGAAGGTCGAAAATAGCTGGGAAAAGGGTCTACTGTGCAAAGAAGACATCAACAAGGGTTGGATGACGTTAGCAGAAAGCACGGCGCACAATAGCAGAGGGAGGCGCTTCGCACGACAGCGAAAAGGGACACATGGCGCACAATAGCCGATTGGCGTACGCAGGCGCACAGTAGCCGATTGGCGTACGCAGGCGCACAATAGCAGAACAACGCACACGCAGCGTACAACAACAGGAACAACGTACGCGGGCATAGGGCAGACGTCAGGTGCTGACATGAGCAAGAAACTGAATGGTGCGTGATGGCGTGACAGAGTGGCGGTAGAAGGCTGAGTATAGAAGGAGATAGAGATAAAGATAGAGAGAGAGAGATAGAGATACAAAAGAAATAAAGATAGAGAGAGATAGAGATAAATTATATCTACAATACAAGGAAATAAGTATAAATCTAAATCTAATATATACATTAACACTATACATAAAATTCAAAATCTATCTAGTCCCATAACCAAAACACTTGCACCAATTAGTCCTATATTTTTTTAATTGTTACCAAAAAAATCCTTTTTTCTTTTTTCTTTTTATAACTTTAAAACCGTTGTTACATCCCACAACTGCCGAACTTCTGTCAAACGGTTACTAGAGACTTGCCGAAATATTTAACATCACCGGAAAGTCACTGAAGTATCATCGAAGTGTTCTGAACGTCACTGGAAGTTGTCGGAATGTCCAGAATGTTCATTGAACATCAAGAATATCATCGGAGACTCACTAGAATGTCCAGAATATTACTGAAAAAAAAAGAAGAAAAAATGGAGAAATTATAGTGAAAAAGTATAGTAAAATATGCTAAATATTGATAAACTAAAAGAAAAAAAAAATAACAACAACAAACAACAATGTGAAAAAATATATATTATTTTTCAATTTTTGTAAGGTTTGAGCAAATAATCTCCACTATTGATATTGATCAAACTGAAAAGTACGCTTATATTACAGTTTCAAAGCATGATTCTATTAAGCATTTATCTTTATTAATCAAACTAGAAAACATGTTATAAAACTGTAAAATTTTACAGTTATAAAGAATGTTATGAAATTGTAAAATTTTTCAGTTTTAAAGCATGATTCATTTCAGTACCAAAAAAATCGAAACTGTAAAATTTTACATTTTTCACTGCCTATTACTAAAACTTAAAAACAATTTGTTCACAACTTAAAATTTTTTTCCATTAAAATAGGAAAATAAAAGTGTGTAGCAGAGAAAAGGTAGAAAAATTGAAAAATCGAAGGTGAGAAACTGATATAGAAAGAATATTGTACTCCGACAATTTTTTTTTTTATTCAGATCTAGTCAAATCTCATGTAGATTTACTCAGATCTGATGTAGATCTAAGTACATCTACTAATCTTCTTTGTCGAAAACTCGTCTATTTCACCGTCGGTGAGAGTGAAGTAAGGAGTCGATGGTCGGTGGTTGCCGGTGAACCCAAGGAATGATAATCGTTGGTTACCGGTGACTATATATTAGAAAGAGAAAAAGAAGAAGTAAGACATGATTGCTGGTCACCAAAAATTAGGAAGAGAAAAAGATAGAGAAAAACAAACACGCAGATTAATGATGAAGAAAAATACATAGTAAACTTTTGAGAGTATTCAAAAAGTTGCGAGACTAAATAGATTAATCCCCTTTTAAATAGAATTTCCAAGTAATTTACCCTTTATTTATCTGGAGCAATTCGAGTTGAAGGCCGCCAACAGTAACCGCCTACAACTTTTTCGACAACTATTTGTAGCGGCGATCAACAGTGGCCGGCAAGAATTACAAATAATAAAAAATGCAAAGATAAAATTGACAGATATGTGCTTGGCTCATAATAAGTACCAATATATATATATATATATGTTTTGCCCTAATATTTTGGACTTGGGAATATTGCTGTGAGAAAATTATAACAGTCTCCTGTGGTGCTTTGGAAGAGACTTTTTTTGATTTTTTTTTTTTATAATTTAAACTGTTTATATTGTAGAATTTTTTGAGTATATTATCTATATTTAAAATAAATTTAATCAAAAATCTATAATCTTATGATCAAGTATTAATTATTTTTAAAAAATTATAAAAATGAAGTTAATCGTATATTTTTAAAATAAATATATGTGCTCTTGTTACAGGGTTTTAGATATCCAATCAATTTATTTTTTTCATAAATAATTTAATCAATCAACAAAATTTACAATATAAATAATTTAAATTATCAAAAAAAAACTCGAAAAAGACTTTCATTTGAAACAGCACAGAAAGCTCCCAGATGTTGGCCCCGTTTGGTAGAGCTGTAGGAAAGTAATTATAAATTATGGCTTAACAAATTATAAATTATAGCTTTAAACATAAGCTATTAATATGTTTGGTGTAGCTGTGGGATTATGGATTTAATTAACAGAGTAGTGTTTGGTTAAATAAGCTGTAAAATAGTTTTTTGCTGCGTTTTGTCCTTTTTGCCTTTTTTTTTTCCCTTTTTCTACATTTTATTTTCTTTTCTCTTCTTTCATTTTTATTTTTTCTTCTCTACTTTTCTTCTTCTATTAATTGTTTTTTATTCTTTTTTTTCCTTATTTCTTTTTTTTTCTTCTCTTAATTTTTTTTTTCTTTTTCTTATTTTCTTTTATTTTCTTTAGTTTATAGTTTATTTTTTGAAATTAGAAGTGGTGCATGCATGGTGAGATTAATCATGAGAAAATTTTGACAAATGCTAAAATACCAATTAAAATTTTCAAATTATATTTATTTTGGTTTATAAATACATGAATATTAATTAATATTTTTTTAAATTTATTATTACAAAATTGTTACAAAATATACCGATTTATTATTATTTTTTAATTTAATTTATTATCAATTAATGGCTTAATTAATATTGAAAACCCTTGCTCTAGCGCCGAAGAGAGAGAGAGAGAGAGCTCTGGTTTCGAGATCACGACGGTGGCAGGTCGATCGCGACGATATTGAAAGGTTTCAGATTGATCTCAAACACGAACAACGTTAAAGAGAAAGAGAGATCTGCCACAATCGCGAAAAGAGAGATAGAGAGAGAGAGAGAGAGAGAGGGAGCTAGCTCTGGTTTAGATCGTCACAGCGACGCTAGGGTTTCAAATCATCACCGACAGCTCTAGGGTTTCAGATCGATCACGAACGTTAGGGTTTTGTCCCTCAGTTGTGATCGCGACGGTAGAAGGTCGATTGAGAGAGAGAGAGAGAGAGAGAGAGACGTTGCCAGAAACTATAACCCTGGCCAGAAATCGCCTCTCTCTCTCTCTCTCTCAAAGTGAACAGTGTGAGAGATCAAAGGGTATATATAATGGTAGTTTCGTAAATAATGAAGTTTGGGTGGGGCATTTCAGTCATTTAACCCCCCCACACCAGCTATGCACTTAAGTCAAAATCTTAAGTACTCCCTGACTAGCTTTTAAGATAAGTTAAAAAATAACTTGATTTAAGCTATAAGCTGGTTAACTTATGCTGCACCAAACACATATTTTATCTTAAATTAAGTTAAAAACTAAAATAAGCAGCTTATAAACTCTACTAAACACCCACGTTATCATTAATATCCCATGTACTCCCTTATCGAGGTTTTTTTTTTTTTTTTTTTTTTGGAGGGGTAGGAGAAAGGTAATGTTTCATTAAGATTAAAAAAACATTACAAAAAAGGGATAGGAATAAATGGGAGGTTCACATTTGGCTCAGTGGTTGTGACATTTTTTGTGGGGTGAGGTTTTGATTTTAACTCTTATGGAAAAGAATTTGATATCCTTTGTGGTAGTTTTTATTTCTCCCACATTATGGGATTTAGGTGAGCTGACTTTGTTGATTTTCTAACTATATATAGACTAGTAGTCTGTTTGATAATATACACTACAAGAATTCACACATTTGCCGACCACTTTTGCCGACCAAAAAAAATTTGGTCGCAAAAAAATGATATTTGCCGACCAAATATTAATTAGTCGCGAATGATCATTATTTTTGGCGACCAAATATTATTGGTCGCAGAAGGTTATATTTTGGCGACCAAAAAAAGAGTTGGTTGCAGAAAGTGGTATGCTTTTGGCTACCAACTACAAATTTGGTCGCGGAAGGTGACATTTTTTTTGGCAACTAAAAATTTGGTCGCCAAAAACTTATTTTTAGCAACCAAAAAAAATTAGTCGCTAAATTAGCACTTTTAGCGACTAATATTTTAGTCGCCGTTGATTGAGATTTGGCAACTAAAAAAAAATTGTTGGCGAAGGGTACCTTTTGTGCGACTAATTTGGTATTTTGGTTGCCAAAAATTTGGGAGGAAAATTTGAAACGTGCAGCGGGAATTGAAATTTTTTATCTTGAACAATCTGTTAGCGCACACATTTTCATTTTCTCCTCTCTCATCTGTTTCTCTCAAACAAACAAGCAAATATATCAAAATATGCCCACAATGTATCCCTGTTTCTCTCACTCTCTCCATCTGTTTTTGTTTCTCACTATTATTCACACAAGCACAAACCCTAGACCACCATTCAAAACCACCACCACCAAAAATGTCTCACGCCGTGGTGGCGTCACCATATTTCCCCACCGTGAGGTTGGCGGCGAACTGACCAAGGCAGAGGTCGGCGAACTGAGGTCGGTGGCGAACTGACCAAACCAGGTAGCAGTGCGTGGAGCCGCCTACACTCTACCATTGCTAATCCTCTCGATTTTAGACCTCTTACATCAGGTAAACACGCTCTCTCTCTCTCTCTCTCTCTCTCTCTCTCTCTCTCGCTCTCATTCCCTCAATTTCAAACCCTAACTATAATTTTCAACTTTTCAGATCTTTGCCTCTCAAGAGTTTCTTCACCTTGAATTTGCTAAACCTGTAGTTTTTGCTTCTTGTAATTAATTTGATTGACATGGATTGAAGAAAACCCCTTTTTCTTATACAATTGAAATATGAAAGCCCCAAAAAATATATTTATAAATAAATAAATATATCAGATTACACAACCCTAGCTCTTTGGCTTCCAAGGGTTTTATCAAAATGCATAGAAGTTCTAATGGAGCAAATATGAAGGAGCTCAGTCTCAATCTCTCTCAATCGTCTCATTGAAGAAGGCTATTTACTTGGTACGTTGCTTCCTCCTCTTCTTCCTCTGAATAGTCTCATCGAAGTCTCAATCTTTCTCATTTTTTTTTTCTAAAAACTGAAAGAGTAGAACATTTGAGTGTTCAATTTGTTTTCTTTCGCCCCTAGTTTTTTCTAAGCTAATTAAAACAGTTTTTATAGAACTTCATACCGTTGTAAGAGAAAAATGCCCCCCAAAAATGGTTAGAAATTGAAACAGTGTGAAAGACTCTTTTTTATTTTATTTCAATATCTGCATACCATTTGGAGTTTCATAATTCTCTGCAGATGTACTGTTTGTCTGCCTAAAGTACTGAACTTTTATTCTCATGTGCATTGTAGGGGCTTTTTGGTAGATAAAAAGAGGGGGTTTAATTGTTAGGGGCTATGTTAATATATTTAAAGCTCTTCTATGCAATGTGACTCAGCACGTGCACCTGCGCCTGCTGATTGATTGATTGTATTGGATCTTCACAAATTGAACACCTGACAACTTGATTTAATATTATACCAGTAAAAGAGAATGAGAGGAAATACTCAAAAGCAATCGGACCATTGGTGTCTTGTGCGACTCAAGTTGTTAGTAAAAATATTGCTATCAGCCAGTCTCTTGGAGCACTTATGTTACAATACTTGCTTACATATGTTGAGGATGAAAAAGAACAACACTAAATAGTATAACAATACAGCAATGGTCGTTCCATGCCCATGGGTCTTTCTTAACTTCAACATAGGGCAGGGCTTGCAGGCTTAAACTTCTTGGATAGGGTTTCCCGAATAAAGACTACAAACAGATTGTTTGGATATTCTAGAATTGAGATGAAGGCTTTATATTTTTCAATAATATATATTTAGGAATATGCGTGACAGTTAACAAACAATCTTTGGTTCTTTTAAACTTTTGGGGAAATGTATGGAGTGGATTTTTGGCTGTTGGACCAGGTGTGCTATAAAGGCATGCTTGTTTTTCATAGTGAATAATTGAAACTGAAAATAAGTCTAAGGTTCAATTTGTGTAATGGTTTAGGATGTTAGAAACAAATTGGCAATGGTAAAGAAACTTCAGGTTTTATTAAGAGAATGGCATGGAAGACATATGTTTGGAATCGCTTACCACATTCAAGGTCTTCATTGGAGTTTTAATTTGTTAGTTGATCAAATTTACAGTGGTATTGGTAAAACATGTCAGGTGGTGTTAGAGGGAAGTAGTCTAGCATGCGTTGTAGAGGACCGTTAAAAGTTCATGTGCTTCCTTGGCATGAGGCATGAGGCGTGGTCTCTAAGGGACCTTATGTCTAGGTGGCAAGCTCTGAATAATTTTAGGAGACTCTTAGGAACCCATGAATTCTCTCAATGGGATGTATGACATCTAGCCTAAGGAGCTTTATGATTTTAGAAAAATATGAATAAATCTCTTGCTCTCTAGGAGATCCGTATGTTAGATATGCTAGCTTGCATGTTTTCGTCTTGAATTACATGTCATGGACACTGGCCAGGGTATATTATTTGCCTACAAGAAGCTAATATGGCAGCTGATACTTCGGTAAATATTTGTAGACTGGGAGGAAATGAAGACACTTTTGTCTATTTTTCTAAGTTTTTTATATTTGTTCGATTTCAAATTTTGATAGAAGCATATTTTCACGAAAAGATTAGACACTGAATTTCACTTCTCAAAGTTTGAATTTTTAACTATAAGCTTTTCCATCGTGAGAAATGAATACTTAACCATTACAAGAACAAAACTTCCAAAATATATTAAGGTTAATCAACCTAGATGGTACTATGCTAGCCCAAACATAGTT